AAATATAAAAAAAAATCCAGTGTTGGAAAGAATGTATTGAAATAGTCTTGTACATAGCTTATAGGAGTGCATGAAATTCAAATTCTACTTCTAGAAAATAAAATACAATAAAAGATAAAAATAACCCAAGTGCCCAGATTTCATAAAGAGAAGAACAAAATTGTACCTCTAGGAATTTATTATAAGGAAAAGTTGCGAAGTTGTTTCTTTCAACATGGTTTATATCATCAAGTAATTAGAAATAAACAGATGTGCAGTAATAGGAGATGAGCTAAACAAATTACAATACATCCATGATAGGGAATACCATGCAGTCATTAAAATCATGTTATTAAAGAGTATCTATTGTCCTGGGGGAAAGTTTCCCATATATTGTTAAATTGAAAAAGTAGGTTACAAAGCAAGATGTGTAGTATGATTCTATGTTTTAAATATATAATATATATATATAAGTGTGTTGCTAGTGAAGAAAAACATCTATAAGTCTATATACACCATGATGTTAATAGTTGTTTTAGCTGAAAAATGAGATTATTCATCATTTTTATCTTCTTTTCTGTGCCCTTAAAAATCTATATAATATAGTTTCTGTAATAAATATGCATTACTCTTGTACTCAGGAAAATCCAAAAAAAATAATATTTTTTGAAAAATCAACTGAAAAGTCAGTAGGTTTTATGCCCTGGAGAGGCTCTGGAAAGTAAGAGGAGAATAAACAATGAGATATTAAAGAATCTCATGTGACTCAGAGCCCTAGGATTCTGGCATTCAGACTTACTCAAGCCTCTAACTCTGATCCTGGTAACTGAGGGAGTGAAAGCAATCATCTCTGACCACTTTGAAAACTTGATATGGCATCATTTTAAAATTGGTGCTAACCAATTTTCCAGGATAAGTGAGATGTTCTGCATATGGAGGAAAGAGGCTGAGATGATATAACCAGTATGTGGTAGAACGAAGAATTGTATAAGGGAACTTGACTGCATCTCACATTGCACAGCGACAGCAGTCTATTTACAGAGAATTTAACTATTCCAAATTTCTTAAAATCCACCACTTCCTCTCTCTGATGTTGGTCTCTTCTTACCGGAATCTGTCTTTCAGGGGGAGGATTTTTTTCAGGAACCACTGTTTCAACGCAGGTGATCTTCTCAACATCTATTGAACCTTTCTTACTGCCTCTTCTCTGAGAAAGAGAATGCAGAAGAAAATGGAGAAATATTGGGTGATTAAGCAATCAGATGATTAGATTTTGTTATCTAATCATTCAACATAGTGAGCTAGCACCCACACTCTGTATCAGGACCTGTCATTTTGGGGGGAAAATAAACATTCCATATCTATAAATCTAACCTTCTTTGGCAACCAAATGGAGGACAAATACTATGAAAGAGTAAATAACTGTATGTGCCTTTGTCATAAGAAATAAGGGAGCAATTTCCAACTCTCAGATTTTATTCTTAACAGTCATTTAATGAGTGCTCATCAGTTGCAAGATTCCATAGTAAGATTCCCCCTGTGGCTTCTTAGCACCTTTGAATTTTTGCCTCAGCATGGTTCTAGCTAGTTCTGGGCTAGCAAATATTTTGCTGAGTTTGAATATACTTAAGTCCATTCCACTTCCCTCCTCCTACCAAGGAAGATGGACCTCTTTCTTAAGGGAAGATCTAAGGCCAACCGCTTAAAATCTTAAACTGAGGTTTCACAGTGGAGAAACTTACCCCACGTTCAAAGTCATACTCATAGTAGGAAAGCTTGTGCACGGTCAAGAGAAAAAGGCGCTTTTTGAAGTTTAGAGGTGATGTTTTCTTTTTCTGCTGGGATCGTTTCAGAAAGATGCTCTCCAGTATCACCGCAGCCATAGCTTCTTCTTTCAGGAGCTCGCTTGTGTGCTGTTGAGAATGAAAGTTCTTGAGGCCCCAGCACATTAATCCTCATCGCTCCTGGTTCCCCCTCAGCCTAGCTACCTAGTTGGAAATGGAATAAAAATGTGCAAAGCTGACAAAGAACCTTCTTCCTACCTTGACATTCTCCTTCCACAGTCCCCAGCTCTGTCAGTTTTCAGGTATAATGGATGCACACTGAATTGGGGGGATTAGTTCTACGTTGTGAGTTCATGCAAACTGGGTTCTTGTGTAAGGCAATAGAATGTTCTAGATGTCAAATGGCATGTACCTGTGTGCTTGGTAATGTGTAGAGGCAGCTTTACACTATTCACCCTCTTATGATACATGTAGCATCTGTGCACAGCAAAAGTCTCTGCACAGCTGTTGACCCTGATATCCCCAGAAGGGATAACGCAGGTGCTAGAACTCCACTGAGGCAGATATCAGGCTTTCGGTTCCCAGTTTCCTAGACAGTGAATGTAATTCTTCAAACATTGTCCCACTGGGGTCTGTAACCAAGGGGTCAAATAAGGATACGGAGGCTGCACCTGCAGTCATGGACACACACTAACTGCCGCCCAACTGATTTTGCCCATCACCCACTGACTGAGCTACAAAGGATAGAAGCTTTGTTCTAAAGTTGAGAATATAATTTTTAGGGGTGGAGGGAGTCATTGTTTTTCGACATTTTTCCCAACTGTCTTATAGTTATAGATGCCAGCTCTGTTCATTTATGAAGAGTAACTTATTTAGCCTCCCCAAACTTACAATACTCCAGACAGATTCAGTTAGGTAACTGAAATACAGAAAGGCAAAGAAAGTTCCAGAAAGTCACCATTGGCTTTTTTATTTACACCAAACAACACTTCGTATCAGTTATTCACCTCCAGTTTTATACTCAATCTTATATTATTATTAATTCCAAACTTTCATTAGAAAGATAAAGTGAAAATAAGCCAGGCATAGGAGCGAGTCCCTGTAGTCCCAGCTACTCAGGAGGATGAGGTAGGAGAATCACTTGAGCCCAGGAGTTGGAGACCAGCCTGGGCAACATAGCAAGACCCATCACACACACACACACACACACACACACACACACACACACACACACACACAGACATACACACACACAGATAATGTGAAAACAAATACCATCATAAAAATGGAGCACTAAGAAAGTAATGAAAAATCACCAGTCCTCTCCTCAAGTTTTGTTAGAGGTGGAGTTTTTTGCTATGGGGTGGTGGGGTTTATTTTTTTAAACTAAACTCCTTATGCTTTTGGTCCTGTGGAAGCAGGATAAATAGCAGTTTTTTCTACTTTTCAAGCATAGCTTATTTCTCACTAGGAAGCAAGGGAGTGGTTTTTATCAAAGCCTGGGGGCTATCTACACTGTTATTTTGCTCTTTCCTGTGGTGTAAAAGGTTCTGTTATCATACTGGGGAGACAAAAATAGATTAAAGGAACACCAGGGACACTCAGAATGATCATTTTGCCTCCTGTCTACCATGTGTATGCCACTATGTTCTGGTGGTAGATTAGTTCAATATTTTGCAAATGATCTTTTTTTTTGAGACAGAGTCTTGCTGTGTTGCCTGGGCTAGAGTGCCATGGTGTCAGCCTAGCTCACAGCAACCTCAAACTCCTGGGCTCAAGTGATCCT